GATGGAGGTACTCTAACATGTACACAATGGAAACTCATTAGGCCATAATGTCCCAAGCATTTAAAGATTATAGTATGTTCATGAGGGGGCAGTGAGGACAAACCAGTGGTCCATGACCATACTATAAATGGCTTGGTCGAATTCTGGGATAAACGCATAAGACCATTCCCTATAAGGTCCAAAGCTTGGGGACACACGAAATTAACATGTATCTAAAGTTAATAAGCATCAGGCCATCTAGTGAGCATATATATTCCCATCTCAAATTGATTACGGGTCATGAACCATACATATCTCATCATAAGACATTTAGAAATGCCACCACAAACATATGTGCCGACTAAGATAGAGTTCTAAGAAGAAGATGGGGCTATATGTTGGATATGTTTTCTCCCACGAATATTAATACCTAGAGCCGACCATGGGTGATTAGTTTGGGGCCAGGTACACGGATTGCATGTCTAATAAATCCGACTATCCAACATCAGGGGGAGAAAATAATAAGATGGTAAAAGAATGATAAGAGAAATAGAATGGATTAAACCATCATTGTCTTGGCAAGATCCTCGGACTAAAGAAAGTGAAATAAGACGTCCAAAGATATATACAAAGATTATACATTTATAAAGCTAGCTAATCAAATTCTAGACACATTTGCTGACCCGAAAAGAAAAGAAAAGAAAAGAAAAGAATGACTAAGTCATACCAGCTTGCACCAACAAATTTGATATCCTAAAGAGACACAATCAAGTTGCTACAGAGTCTAGACAAGGTAGACCAATAAGTTCCATAAGATAAAAATCCTTGGAAAGAAAAGGGAAAGGTTCATAGAATGATTACAAATCCGAGGTCAAAGGAAATCAGACCAGACATGGAGATAAGGCTGGCCAGCTGAACATCTAAGGTACCAAACCATGTAGCTTGGGATGCCAAGCTGCTAGGTAATAAAGGTCTTAGATAGTAATCTCAAATCGATTAGATCATGTCTGGAACACCATGGAACCATATGAGAATGTCGACACATAGATGATAGATTCATTTAAGGAAGCACATAAAGGTAGCACATAAAGGTAGCACTTGAACTTATAGATATAAAGCAAGAATCATGAACCCACGTAATAGAGTACTCATAAGATCAGATTAAATGGAAACGTGGGATTAAAGTATCTAGAGAAAGAGAGGCGTATTAGCCATATATATATATATATATACCATAAACCAGTGGATGTAAATGGGTCTTGTGAGGGAAAGAAAATCATCAGATGTAGAATATGATCACGTGGTCTAAAGTTGTTCATGTTTGTACTTACACCATTCAACCACGACTTGTTACAAGGATTCTCACAGAGACCAGGAATAGACTATGAGGAGATATACTCCTATGTGGTGGATGCTACTACATATTTCGATTTGATAAGGTCTGGTCATAAGAAAGAAATTAGATTAACATATAAAGGATGTAGTAAGCTGTATATGGTCCACTGGATAATAATGATAAATGTACCAGAAGGTATTGCGCTCAAAGATGAAAAAAGAAATTCTCAAGAAACAGCGTTGTATAAAGTTGAACTGTTTGTGGACTGAAACAAAGCTGTTGCATATAGTATGATAGATACTTAGTGAAAAAAAGTTATAAGAACAAGTCAAATCAGTCCATGTATCCTTATAAAAGAAATTTGATTTCCTTGTGTATTTTATACTAACCAGCCCAAAGAGGAGTTATTTGGTTTTATTGTTGATTTTTTTTCAGACAGGTTATGTTTTATACATGGTGGTACACACATTCACCGCAACATCATCGTGTGTGTGTTTGGTCGAGAGTGTGTGATGGTTGGTAGTATGATCAATCACACCGCATGGACCATGAGACAATCCGTAAACGCTTGTGGTCAAGGTCCATCCAAGTAAGGTGGTCACATCCCGTCCAAGTATTCATCGCCCACGAGTTAGAGAGAGAAGTACAAGTAGTTCAAATTCATTCAAGCTGAAAGAATCAAGATTGAAAGACTTTCAGTGAGGTTCAAATCAGAGAGTAATACGTGTTGTACTCTTTTTCCTTATCCATGGGTTATCCGGATTTTGTCCCATTGGGTTTTTGGGTTTTTCTTGAAAATGTTTTAATGAGGCAACACCCAAAACGTATTACAAGCTCTATATGGTTATGACATCCAAAGATGAGTGTTATGAACCAATTAGTGGAAGCGTCATAACCATATTATCTAGGTCCAATCCGTATAGTCTATATAACGGTTTAGACTTAGTATTTTCCATATTTGTATTGGTTTTGTACTTTCTATTTATCTCCCATGTAATTCTCTATATAAGAGATTCTATGTTGTGTAATAGATACACCAATCCCTTTGTTATCTCATTAGTTTACAACAACAACCAATATATTTATAGTTAGCGGAAATATTTTCAATTAATTATGTGATAAAAAGTAGTATTGGAAGTTATCTTTTTTTTTTATTAATTATCTCTCAGAATCAGATGAAAGTAGTATTTTGGGGCTTAAAGCACTCCATCTATTAACCCTAGTGACTTAGGATATACTTTGTCAACTTTCATAGAGTTGTGGCCCTTGACGAAACATACGTTCATATCATTAAATGTCCATGCCAAACCTTTCTTCTAGAATGAGTTAAGCTGCAACTCGGGATCCATGTAGAAGAACCAAAAGCTACGTATTTCATTAAAATCTATGTCTATGATCTTGTTAATCTTTTGCGAAATTGACAAACTCACTCGTGACGGCGTAATAATTTGTTTTACCTGAAAAAAAATTGTTTTACCTGAAATTTAGTTTGATAAAATGTTATGAAAATCGAATCAGACATTGACTCGGCATTGTAATTGGTTAATGATTAATTGGACCAGTTCAAACAGTTCAATTGAGTTTTAATTTTACTTTTAAATTAAGTAATTGTATATATAACTATATGCTTATTTTTATAAAATTTTATATCATTGTTAGAAGCTAAAAAATATATGAAAATAAAATGAAAATTTCACAAATAATATAAAAGATAATGAAAACTGATTTATTTAAACAGATATTAAAATTGTTTTTTTTTATAAAATCTTTTTAAATTTGTAATTTTTTATTTTTTACTTTGAATTTGGAAAAGAGGTTTTAATATCGAACTCGAAAAAAATCGGCTGTAATGTCGTAGACTCACTATTCTTTTGACATATAAGTGTTTGATCTAGATTTCAGGTTGTTCAAAAAAAAAGATCTAGAATTCGTGACATAAAAGTAAGTTTTAAACAAAATATTATATGGTTGGTGCGTACGACACCCGATGTCATCGTTTGCTACACTTTCAACTACTTTTCAACTATCACAACAATATATGAGAGTTTATAACATGTATTTAAAACTTTCGTATACGTGCCACAATATATTATGTTTAATAAAATACTAATTTTTAGTTATAGTAATCGTACATTGTTCTGTATCAGTGGATACAATACAACAGACATTCAATACCATACGAAGAGAATAGTTTAGATTACCGTGAAACTGGTCAGTCTTCACTCATCGGTAGAATATCCACCAAACGAACAACGTATAAAGGTTAGCTGCATCAACTGATAAGGAAATTTTTTAAAAAGTAAACGGTAACGACCGTTAAACAATCAGCCGAATTTCAAGACAATGCATGGCTCCGGATTTCACGGCGTCTGTCTTTACAGTTCTTTTTGTCAGGACTACAAATCGCATTTATCTCGTTGGTCAACACATTTAGTAAGGAGGTAAAAGTTTTATCATAAAACCATGCAAATAACTCAATAATAGTATTGTTCTCTCTATTCTAAAAGATCCATATTCTAGTTTTTTCACACTTTTTAATAAAACACAATAAATTTACATAGATTTTTGTATTTATCTTCTTTCCATAATTTTAAACCAATAAAAAAATCAAATAATGCAATTCAGTTTTTTGAAGTTTACAATTAATTAATAAAATATGCATTGAAAATGTAAAAAATAGATTTTTTAGAAACAAATTTGTTTTCTAGAATATGTATCTTTAAGAAACGGAGAGAGTATAATTTTCGTCGAAAAGTTGTAAACAAAAATACTACGATTACTCACGAAACCGTGTGACAGATGAATACAAGTAATAAGTTAAAAACAACAAGATAATACGCTTCATCTTAAACTGTCTTTAACACGTTACAATTATATTCCTCATAATTTGACGCTAATTACTCCATCCCTGTATTAAATGATTTTTATATGACGTGTTGGAGAATTTCACACAAAAGAAAATAATATTCTCTCACAGAAGCAAATGGAAATAATCTTTTTAAAGTAGTTAATGGAAATAATTTGAAGAAAAATCCAAGATCTATAGGCAATATTTTTTTTTTTTTTTTTGGCAACACTATAGGCAATATTTAAAACAGGAAAGACAATCGATGTTATTAGCAGTTAGCCGAAAATGCCAAAATACTCAATCATAGAGATATATATTATATGCAAGAAAATATTACAAATCAAGACCATATCATTTTCTTATCTTCAGTCGATTTTTTCTTTCTTTCTTTCTAAGCATTAAAAGCCAGAGTAACAGAGTATAGTTACCATTTTTTCTTACAAACTGATAAAATGAAATTATTTTCTTAGATAAAAAAGCTAATAAATTATTTTTAAATGATTACGTTTTAATTTTTTTTTTTTTTTTTTTTTGATCAAAATGATTACGTCTTATATAGTACTCTTTTGTAGCTTCCTCCATATCTAAAAACCTAGCGTGTATCTAAACATTAAAGATAGTAAATAATCTCATTTTGTATAATTACAGAATTTTAGCGGATACTATACTATTTTACCACATAAATACACCGCGTGCCAGCTGTGTACCACCACTTAAATAGAGAGACAAAATAAAACAAAAATCAAAAACTAAGAGAATAAATTCATCTTTTAATTTCTCTGGTTCATCCATTTATCTCAAAAAAAGAATAAATCCATTTATTTATTTCTTTAGAAGAAAAGATTATGCTTTTATGATCAACACTCTTATCTCTCTCCCTCCATCTCCGCCGATTCCATCTCTCACTTTCCCCTTTCTCTGTAAAAAAAAGGAAGAACCTTTCTTCCTCCTCTTCAATGCCACCATAAAACCCTAAAATAAAGCTCAATTCTTTGACATCTCCCCTCATGAAAATGCATCTGGGTAGTATCATCATCCTCTGTTTCCTCCTCTGTTCACTAACCTTCACCGCTTCACAAACCAGCATAGATACCCCCACAATGCAATCCCTCAAATCTCACTTAAACCTAACCAAAGACATAGACTGGTCCAACCCCAACCCATGTAAATGGCCCACCGTTCAGTGCGACGGAAGCAACAGAGTCACAAGAATCCAACTCAAAACCAAACGAATCAGAGGAACCCTCCCACCAAACCTGCAAACCCTAACCGAACTAACCGTCCTCGAACTCTTCGAGAACCAAATCTCCGGTCCGATCCCTGATCTCTCCGGTTTAACCCGGTTACAAACCCTAAACCTCCACGACAACCTCTTCGACTCTGTTCCCAAAAACCTCTTCTCAGGCCTTACCTCTCTCCAAGAAGCTTACCTCGAGAACAACCCTTTCTCTCCTTGGGAGATTCCTGAAACCCTAAAGGAAGCTACTTCTCTTCAGAACCTCTCTTTGACTAGCTGTAACGTCACGGGGACGTTACCTGATTTCTTCAGCTCTCAGACACTTCCAAGCTTGACAAGACTCGAGCTTTCTCAGAACTTGTTGCAAGGAGGGTTGCCTGCGAGCTTGGGAAGTTCTTCGTTACAGGAGCTTCACCTCAACGGACAGAAACTAAACGGTTCTGTTTCGGTTTTACAGAACATGACTTCGTTAGTTGAGGTTGATCTGCAAGGGAACGCTTTCTCTGGTCCGATTCCTGATCTCTCTGGTTTACAGTCTTTAAGGATATTCAATGTAAGAGATAATCAGCTCACTGGTGTTGTTCCACCGTCTTTGATTGGTCTCAAGACACTCACTACTGTGAATCTGACAAACAACAACCTTCAAGGACCAACTCCACAGTTCGAGAAGTCTGTTGGTGTTGATATTTTGACAACCAATACTAATAGCTTTTGTTTGGGTACTCCTGGTACTCCTTGTGATCCACGTGTCAGTACTTTACTCTCTGTAGCTGAGTCGTTAGGTTATCCGGTGAAGCTTGCTACGAGTTGGAAAGGGAATGATCCGTGTGCTAGCTGGATTGGGATTACTTGTGCTGGAAGTAACGTTACTGTGGTGAATCTTGGGAGGCAAGGGCTTACTGGTAGTATATCTCCTAGCTTTGCTAAGATTACTTCGTTGGAAACTATTAATCTCTCTAATAATAATCTCTCTGGGATTATACCTAATGAGCTTACTACATTGCCTAAGCTTAAGATGCTTGATGTGTCTAACAATGATATCTACGGAGATGTGCCAAAGTTTGAGGCTGGTGTGAAAGTGGTGACTACTGGTAATCGTAACATTGGGAAGCCTAAACCTTTAGCACCTGGTGCGTCTCCTGGTGGGGATGGAGGAAGCTCTAAGGGAACAAGTAAGGCCAAGATTATTGGTCCTGTAGTTGGTGTTGTTGCTGCATTGTGTTTAGTAGGTCTCGGTGTGTGTCTCTACGCGAAGAGAAGAGCGCGGCGACCTGCTAAAGTTCAGAGTCCGAACAACCACATGGTGATACATCCTCATCATTCTGGTGATGGAGACGCTATTAAGCTCACTATTGCAGCTTCTAGTGTTGGTGGAGGAGGAGGAACAGAGAGCTCTAGCAGTCATGCCGGGAACACTGACATTCATGTGGTGGAGTCTGGTAACTTGGTTATATCTATACAGGTTTTGAGGAATGTGACAAACAACTTCAGTGAAGAGAACATTCTCGGTAGAGGCGGGTTTGGGACAGTTTACAAAGGTGAGCTCCATGATGGAACTAAGATAGCTGTGAAGAGGATGGAGCCTTCAGCTGTGAGTGACAAGGGGCTTGAGGAGTTTAAGTCTGAGATCACTGTGTTGACTAAAATGCGTCACCGTCATCTTGTTGCACTTCTTGGTTACTGTCTTGATGGGAACGAGAAGCTTCTTGTCTATGAGTACATGCCACAGGGAACACTGAGCCAGCATTTGTTTCATTGGAAGGAAGAAGAGAGGAAGCCGCTTGATTGGACTAGAAGATTGGCTATTGCTTTGGATGTAGCTAGAGGTGTTGAGTATCTACACACGCTTGCTCATCAGAGTTTCATCCATAGGGATCTAAAGCCATCAAACATCCTTCTTGATGATGATATGAGAGCTAAAGTCTCTGACTTTGGGTTGGTTCGGTTAGCCCCTGAAGGCAAATACTCCATTGAGACTAGAGTTGCTGGGACCTTTGGTTACCTCGCTCCAGAATATGCAGGTTTGTACTGACCCAAGTGTTAAAGTTTCATACTTTGATCGTTTTGCATTGACCCAAGTGTTAATGTTTCAGACTTAAAACGTTTTACACTGACCCAATTGTTAAAGGTTCATACTGTGATCGTTTTACACTGACCCAAGTGTTAGAGTTTCATACTTTGATGGTTTTGCATTGACCCAATTGTTAAAGTTTCACACTTTGATCGTTTTGCATTGACCCAAGTGTCAAAGTTTCATACTTTGATCGTTTTGCATTGACCCAATTGTTAAAGTTTCATACTTTTAACCGTTTTGCTAATGTTATATGGTTTGGTTTTGGCAGTGACGGGAAGAGTGACGACCAAGGTAGATATCTTCAGCCTAGGAGTCATACTAATGGAGCTTATCACTGGTCGTAAAGCCCTTGACGTGTCGCAACCCGAAGACAGCGTCCATCTAGTCACATGGTTCCGTCGTGTAGCAGCCAGCAAAGACAAAGACAAAGACGCCTTCAAGAACGCAATAGACCCAAACATCAATCTCGACGAAGAGACCTTAGCTAGTGTCCAAAAAGTATGGGAGCTAGCTGGTCATTGTTGTGCTCGTGAGCCTTACCAAAGACCTGACATGGGTCATGTTGTTAACGTCCTGTCTTCACTCACCGTCCAGTGGAAACCCTCCGAGGCCGATCCTGATGATCTCTATGGTATAGACTATGATATGCCTCTTCCACAAGCTGTTAAGAAATGGCAAGCTTCTGAGGGGCTTAGCCAAACCATTGATGACTCTGGATCTTCGTCTTCGGCTTATGGAAGTAGAGACAATACACAGACGAGTATCCCTATTCGCCCATCTGGTTTTGCTGCCTCGTTCACTTCTGTGGATGGTCGTTGATGATGATATAAAGACTGCGCTTTCTGATGGTTTCGTTACAGCGTTTTAGTGAGTAGATGATTTTATTTTGGTCTTTCTTTGTTGTTCTCTCAAGCGTTTGCTTATGACTTGTTTTCTATTTGTCTTTCCTGCAAGCTTTTGGTTTAAGTGTTATCTTTGTAGTGTTTATGCAAATACAAAACCATCTTTGAGATGGCTTAGATATGAACTCTTTCTTCCTACTTCAGCTTTTCTTTAAATTTATATCTAATATATGGTTTGCGGTGTTAAACTTAACAGAATTGAATTGGTTAATTATGCTACTAAACTGCAGTATATGTTTTTGATCATTTCTCCTTAACGAACATTAGAATGAAGCTTGCTTGAACTAGTAATCTATCGAGAATTGATAATATCGTGCACGTAGTTAATCTATGGATAATTATTTGCAGAGCAGGTCCTGAATATTCTAAAGCTGCAAGCAAGAATTTTCTTTTTGCTGGTTTGCGTTTGTTTACAAAAAAAATGTTTGTAAAATACATGGTGGAGCTTCGAACCAGGGACATGCAAAGAGTAACCTAAGATATTTTGCTACTAGACCATTAATCGTGGCCGAAATAACTAACAAAACCAGACAGCCGGAAGCGAGTGGTTGGTTGACGTAGTGTCAAGACTGGCACTGATCATTTGTCATATCATGTAAGTGAAATCAAAATACGAGAAAAATTCATGTAATGATTGTATGATCATAAACAAGAATTTTAAATCTTCCAAAATTAACTAATTGTTCGTCACATGGAATGAAATCCATATATTGAGCGAACGTGCATCCGTTAACCAGATGGTTATGCATTACACGATATTTATTCATATTGCAAGATAAATTAAATTTAAATATAATTTTTTTTTCTAACCGAGTATCTTGACCCCATTGAAGTGGTCCAGACTAGAGACCAAAGCGAGTAAGGACACTGTCAGGACGTCACCATGTGGCTCATCTATAACGGTCTTCGGTCTCGGATGTTGCAGTCCATATGTAAATTTCGCAGTGACCAAGGCTCAAACCCATGGACGGACACTCTATTTGAAATTCCTTTACCACTAGACCAAAGAAAATTGGTTTAATTTTTATATTTAACTTTAATATATTCCACATAAAAACATTTCAAAAAATTGGATGTGAATGGAACCTCGTTTGATGTTAAGAAAAAAAACAAGAAGAGAACCATATCATATGCATTAGAAAGAGAAAACCGTTAATTGCCCGAGCAACTATTAGAGCATCTTCAATAGTGCTCTACTTCTCCGTCCAAAACCAAATATAGCGTAAAAATCATTCTAATGGTACATCAAATATTAAACTAAATATAGAGGGATGAACAATATTATTCTAAATATAGAGTATCACTATTCATTTACTCTATTTTTAGAATTGAACTTCTTTACAAAATGATCACTCACTTTTACAAATTTTCATTTCTACTTTAATAAATCATATATTATAACTTTATACTTTTAGGTATCATTAAATTTATAAAATTAGTTATAAAATTAGCTGAAAGTCTAAATGCACTAATAATTTATATTAAATTCGAAAACACACAAACATAATAATTAATAAACAAAAAAATTATAATCCATAATAAGAATATAAAATATTCAAACTTATCATAACACATTATCATCATGATTTAATAATCTGGTAGATCATTTCCAGATCCACCAATATCATTAAAAAATTCTCAAAATGAAGTTGATGAAAAAGGAGGTTGTTGATTCATCTTTTTCATCAAGATTTTTGTTTGTTCTCCTTGAACTTATTTTTGAAATTTTGGATCTTCTATAGAATTTAAGTTTTTGAAGTAATATTTTATTTTCCTCTTTGAACTCCTTCAATGTATAATTTTTACTTTGCCATCTCCAAGTGGTGTGGTGTTGTCTTTGTGCACTTGTCTTTTTTAATTCTTCCAAGAGTTGTTGGTTTCTTTCTTCTAAAATCTTGATAACAGTGATGTTTGATCATAATTCCTTTTTTCAGTTTAGATTTTTTTACTCCAATTGGTTGTTGGGATGGAGATCCACCACTAATGTCTTCTTCTCCTAAATTTTCAGAAGATGAAAACAAATCTGGAGATGCTTGTATAACATGGCCAGAAGTGTGATTTTCAGATTCTATAGATGTATATCCAAAACCACATAGAGTTGCATCTCTTTTAGCAAGATTAGAACCATCTTTAAACTTTTCGAAATTTTTGACAAAATTCCAATATACATGATCAAATTTTCAATAATATTTAGTTTCAATAATAAGTGTTGTAATGAGATTTTCGCTTTAAAGCAATCATTTAGTTTCAATAATATAGTAATTGTATTGTGCTATTGTTGTATTATCAAATATAAGGGTAAAGTTTTAACATTTCAAAAGTTGTGGTTATATAATAAATTAATAAAAAAGTAGAGAAAAAATGTAATAAAATATTCTTTTTTTTTTAACACAGGATAATTATGCATTACAAACTTTGAGAAATATTACAGCCGACAATTATACATGCCTTATGCGGATTCACGTCTGACTGCATCACCATGAGCCGTCCTATGAGATCCATTTCTGACTTAAAAATATTCTTTTATAGAGTTAAAAAGAGAAGTAACCATTAAAGCAAAATTCTTGTATATTTTTAGAGTACTTTATATTTGAAGAAAATAATAGAGATAACCATTAGAGATGGTCTTAAAGACATTATATGAGATATAACCCTCATAATTTATTCTACTACAACTTAAAGAAATCTATATGACCCAATACATATTAATGTACTTATTTAACCTTAATGAAATAAAAAAAAAAACTAAAACAAATTAAAAACAAAATTGATTTGGTGTCGCTGGTTCTTCTTCTCCGACGTCTTTAACCTCCGATGGTAACCGCAATAGCAAGCATCAGCCGGAACGCTGGTCCGTGCTTCGCTCTCTACCGGCGTCGTGCCCCGCAACTCATAGGCGAGTTACTCCTCCATCACAGATGAAGTCGACGTGAGATCCCAACCCATGGTGGTCGTCAAGTCGGTGAATCACAACACCACTGCCAGTTCTCCTATTGAAGTCGTATATGTTGTCGCCCTGACCTCAGACCTTCGCCACCAACTCCACTAATCTTTGATTTTAATCCGTTGTTCTACTCAATGGCGGAGCCAGCTCAACCGTTCACTAGGGTCAACTGCATAATTTTATTATGTTAAATGGGTCAATAACTTAAATCTGCAATATTTTTCAGTTTTTCCTTCAAAATACAACAACATTTTGTTGTTTTATAAAAATCCATATTGGTCATATGACCCACCCTCTACTAAAGGTAGCTCCGCCACTGGTTCTACTATGTCTCGAGAGTGATCAATGTATGTTGTACTTGTGACCAACTCTCCGTTATTTATATCTTTGGTCCTTAAATTTCTCACTTCTCTTTATTTTAACCCCAAATTTTCTAATTAACGGATTTTGTTGTGATTTTGCCCCAAACTCTTTAATTGTGAACTATAGACCATATTAAATATAAATCGACATATAAATCAAATTTACTATGATGTTATTATAAGTTAATCATGAAACTGGAGCAGGAGTGGATTATAGAAGATTATACAACTAGTACATCCTTAGTTAATTTTAATTTTACAGTTAAAGTACAACTACATGTAATTTGGTACAGTTCAAAAATTTATATACTATGTGTAACTAAAACATATAAATATATGGTATTACTGGTACAACTTTGTTATATACGAGGCATGTAATATTGATACAACTTTGTATTCTATACTAGACATGTAATACTGGTACAACTAGTTCAACTTCTTCATTATAAAAAAATTAAAAATGTCATTCGATTTTCCATATTAAAAAAACAATCAACTGGCCAAATTGGTATATGTCTATAATATTTTTCCAAAATATTTTAATTTTTTAATAATTATTTTGGTAATTATTACACTATCACATAAGTTTTCATATTCTTATACTTTAGAGGTTTGTTTCTTATTTTCCACTATATTTTTGAAAAAATTACACCAAATACATTTTAACAAAATTTATGATTCTATAATTAATATGTGATACCAAGTAGGTAAACATATAGAGATGGTACGACTGAGGTAAATTTATTTCTTATGTGGTACAACTAAATATTTTCAATTTTAATTTCAGAATATAACTAAGTACAAACTTATACAACCCAAATCCCGGTACACCTATGCACACAAGTGTACAACTAAAAATCTGGTACAACTATGTGTTATTACATTTGAATTGTGTATCTTGTTTTAAATATGAGATACACAACTCAACTAGTTATAACACTAGTTGTATTAGTTTTTGTTGTACTAGTTGTACTAATAATACTATGTGTTTTTCTTTGTCGTAATTTTTTCACGTAATTTTTCACTATGAAGATGAAATTTGATTTCAGATAAGAGGAAATGAGTTAAGGATGATAATGAGTTGATCGATTTGGGATAGAAAAAAAGAATAAAAATATGGATTAAGAACAAGAACAAAAAATATGGATACTGGGAGGTGGAAGGTGGAAGGAGATTGTGATTTTGAATTAGGGATTTAGGGTTAATCGTGGGTCAAGTTTTGGGTCTGATTATGGGTAGAGTAATAATGGCATGGGTTAGTAAATATGTTTAACTCTCTAATAGTTTTTGGTTATTTTGTTTAGTTTTTTATTTAAATTTAAATAAAAATAAAATATAAAAGATATGGGGTTATTTTAGAACTAGGTGACTGGCCCGCACCCTGTGCGGGCATAAAAATGTTGTGAGATATCGGTTGCGTTGAATCTTGATAGAAATGTTTCAGTACGAACTCATTGATTTCCATGTATTGTAGAAGCAAGAAAGTTGATACTCATATACCATGCATCTTGAACGTGGAAGAAAGTGGAACAAGTGAGAGTTTCAATGCTCAGACTTGGTCTGTGGAAATTTTGCAGAAGGAAGTATGGTAGAGATAATGAACGAATTTTCAGAATGAAGTATGGACTCTTAAAATGAAGTTGTGTTGTATGAATGATGTAATTGTATATTTTAGCTGAAATATTAAATGTATGGTTTTATATTTATATTGAGAACAATGACATATTAAAAGAAAATATGAGAAAATTTGAAATATAATCCCTAAGTAATATAAAATAAGAAGTACAATTCCGAATTAACAAAATCCCAACCAAACCTGCAAAAAGTTAGGGTATTTTGTCAGCAATTGTACGATATGAAGTATTTGGATAAACTTGAATGGTG